ATACATATTACTCAAATGTATTTTATGGCTCTATGAATCAGCTCCGGCAATTGCGAAATTATGAGTTATAAATCCATATTGGCCCCTCGGGCTGAGTATTTCTAGTTGAAGAGGCGAAAATTGAAATTCTGATTAATGTTTTTGGCATATTTGAGCAATTATTATAGACAACGGATAGAGATCAAGTAAAAGTGGGCAAAGTGATTGTAAAACCGATTATTTTAAATGCTTTTGACTTTTTTTTTATAATCGTGCATTATCAGATTTTCTTGGAAAAGGAGATTTCTTAACAAGCAATAAATATATCATTTTATTTTTATATTTATTTTTTATTATTTTTACATATATTTATTATTTATAGCTATTTGAATTATTACTTATATTTATATTTTTATTTCACTTGCATATATTTATTATTGATTTATTATTTTTATTATTATTTGCACTTGTTTTATTATTAAAGTTTTATTATATTTATTAATTGAATATTATTATTATTGTTACATATATTTTTTATAATTATTTTTTATTATTATTTATGTGTTTATTATTTTTATTCAAATTATGATTATTGTTACATATATTTTTATAACTATTTTTTATCATTATTATATGTTTACTATTTTTATTCAAATTATAATTATTGTTACATATATTTTTTATAAAAATTTTTTTATTATTATTTATTATTATTCTTATTCAAATTTTTCCGTTCTTCGCACAATAAACTTGTTAGTTTTTTATTTATTTTTCTAGTATTTCTTATATATATTTTCTTTATTTATTAGACATTACAGTTAATATAAAACGAAAACTCACTTAAATTATAGAATATGTATATTCTCTAGTTTAATCTAGCTGTTTATATAATAATCTTTCTTTCTTCTATAAAACATATACATGCACACATACGTATACATTAACAACTTTTTGTAGTATTATAAAATATATGAAATGGAACTATTCTCATTCAAAGTCATAAGCTAAATCCAAATCCGACTGCAGCTGCGCTTAATGAATGGAATGGAACTTTGATGCAGTTGGTTGGCTTCGATTATCATTGGCCGTGATTCATTCGCATGCTGTCCTAATAAAGAGACAATTTTTCAACAAAAATCCCTTTCACACAGCAGAGCGAAAGCAACAGCTGATGTTGTTGTTATTATTGTTGTTGTTGTTGCTTTAGCATTGACTGTAACAGAAATGTTTCATCATTGCAAATTTCAGACTTTTTTATGGCGTTTCATTTGTGTTCTGGTGCAGTAGAAGCAGCTGCTGCCAGCCTCTGACAACTGCAGCTCTTTGTTGGCTCTGCGAAATTGTGATTCAATGCGGCTATTTGGGTCGTCCTTTGCGCCAATGAGTCAACTGGATGTGAAAAGGTACTTGGTGCTGGTAACTGATATGCCAATGAAATGAATCAGACCAGCTCCAGCTCCAGCTCCATGGACACCTCCATGGGACAGCTGAGCTAAGCCAGATGCCATTGTGAATAGGAATTGCAGCCACTGAGCATATTTCTCCCCAATGAGTGTGATAATGATTATGTATGTATGTGTGTGTGTGTGTGAGTGTGTGTGGCTTGTTATAATGAAAATTCATAATCTCTTGCTCGGCCAATGCGCAAAAAGAAGCAGAGGAAAACAAAATACAACAAGTAAGAAGACTCTAGTCGAGACTGCTCGACTAGGAGGTACCCTGAATTCTCCAATCTGATATTATAATCACTCTGCACTTCTTTTAGACACACAGCTAGCTGCGCAGTAAGCAGCGACTGCGCTGCAGTTTGGACAATATTATACGAATTTATTTGTTGAATAATTTTATTATAATTTTCAAATGTATGTACATCCCAAAGCACAAGTCTCTAGTATTTGATATATACCTTTTACAAAGGTGAGGGTGAGGGGTGAATATAGGGGTGGGGGGTAAATTACAACAAAAACCGAAATTATATAAAATACACATAAGTCTACATTTAAAATTTGGAAGCTCTAGCTCTAATGGTGTGGGAGATATAATTAAAATCTTAGCTTTCGATAAGGTTTTTAATCGATAATAAAATATCGGAGGTAGTTATCGATAGGAAACAAAAATCAAGTCTCTAGCTCTTATATTTTCTGAGATCGACGCGTGCATACATACGGACAGGCGGACGGACGGATGGACAGACAGACGGACAGGGCTAAATCGACTCAGCTCATCCCCCTGATCAAGAATACATATACTTTATGGGCTCTGGCACGTCTCCCTCTGCCTGTTACATACTTTTAACAAACCCATTATACCCTGATTTCCCATTTCCAATGGGTTCAGGGTATAAAAGGAGAAGAAGGTGAAAGAAAAGCGCAACTCGTGGCATATGGACAGTGCCAAGCCACATACATATCTGAATATGCTATATCTGAATATGAATATATATACATATACATATGTATGTGTATGTCTGTGCATATGGTTAAGCAGGATGCGTGGGCACTGAGGCGGCTTGAGGGGAGGTGGGCGGCGGCGGTGGCACACAGCCCGCGTAGTTCATATCCATGTGGAGCAGGATGCGTAATGAACTCGTTGTTGCGATTTTTTGTTTGTGTGCCTTGGCTGGCTTGCGACACAAACAGGACGCCAGCAGGCGAGCTGCGTTGGGCTCATAGATACCGCACACACGCCATGGCAATCGCAATCGCAATCGTATTGTTGTCATATTGTTGCTGCCACGCCCCTACCCCAGAACGGCGCCCAACGGGCCAACAATGGACACAAGCGCCAAATGGTTAAAGTGCCTATGCTGGTTGTTGTTGTTGTTGTTGTTGTTGTTGTTGCTGTTATAGCAAGTTATTATTGTCTGCCGTTGCTGTTGTCATTGTCATTGTTGTTGTTTTTGCTGCAGTTATTCCTGCTGTTGTTGTTGTTGTTGTTATCTTCCGGATGTGTCGCTCTGTGCATATAAATCGCATTTAATTTATTGTAAATCGGATTAAATTACCAAATGTTGCACGCACGCTGCACACTCGGCTCTTTAGCTCTTAGCCCCATTGCTCCCACCGCTGCCCCATGCGCGACCTATGCCAGTGTCTCAACTTACTCCCCTCCCTCTCTCTCTCCCTCTCTCTCACTCGCTTAATGCCTCGCACACGCTAGCCATTGCATTTAAAGTGTGACCAAAAGCGGCTTATTAGCCGCCAAGTAAGCCACGCTGCATCGAGTCCAAGTCCAACAGCAAAATGGACACAAATGAGACGCAAGCAGTTAGCCAACAGCCAACAGCCAACATCTCATTTGTAGCTGACAAAGCTGCTCGTGGCCGTTAAATGGCTAGAAGCACTTAATGCAATTTAGCCAAGAAAAGCATTTGAAAAGAAGCACAAAATGAAATGCAGAACTAGCTCATGTGTCGATGGGAATGAGACAGAGAGAGAGAGAGAGAGAGAGAGAGAGAGAGAGAGAAAGAGAGGGAGCTTGAAGAAGAGTAAAGTGAGATGATAGAAAAACAGAAAAGAGCTAGTGAGAGAGAGAGAGACACACAGAGACAACTAGAGATAAAACCTTATATCATAAACTTGATTTAAAGACATTTAGCGATTGATTGCAGAGACTGGAAAGTGATTGGAAAGTCTTGAAGGTGCTTATAGAACTTAAAGATTCTTAAAAAGGCTTAAAACAGAGATTTAGGAGACTTGAAGGCAGCACCTACCAACATGAACTTCATTGGCTACTAAATTCCATGGAAAATTTGCAATTTTGCTTAAAAAAATTCTCAAAAATAAAACATAAAAATTATATGCATAAGATACCCAAATTATTTTCCAATTTCTATTGAAATCTGAAAAGCTCTTCAACAAAAATTGAGAACCAAATTTAAAGTAGCTTTAAGAGAGAAAAATCACTTTTGTATATAAACAAAGTCGGTGAATTCAATCCGATTTCATCTCAAGCAAACAGGTTTCAATTGAAAAAAGATAAAGAGTGTGAAATATTGAAGAGAATTACGAAAAATATGTAGGAAATTATATGGAAAATATATGGAAAAATCTATGAAATCACTAGGAAGCATATTTCATTGCACAAATCTCTTGAGTTTTAATATACACAAAATTTTGTATATAGTTTATCTATGTGGTACTTTAATAGTTTACCTAACTAGATATATATGTTAATAATTTATATACATAAAAAGAGTATTTTATATTGATTTAAAATTAGAAGAAAAATATTTTCCATATACCGTATGTAGAATTTATTTTTAAAGCTGCTTTGCCTTATCCAATTAGTTAATGTCGAGCAATATTCGAATCCAGTCAAAGCTTTTACTTTAAGCTATTTGCATTAAATGTACGTATATATACTGATACTATACAGTATAGTATGCTATATGTGTTTGTATACATCTATAATTGCTCACATTCTGCAACTGCCCGCTTCAGTTCAGGGCAGAATTTTAAAGCCAGCCGCTGCGTCGGCAGTTTCACACTTTTGGGTGCAATTAACCGTGTGCCGGCATTTAAGTGAAACTTTACAGTGCCTGTTATCTGTTAATGTACATTTCCACGGCTCATAAATGCACTGCCCAAGAGAGAGGGAGAGAGAGGGAGAGGGAGCAACTGGGTAGCAGAAGAGGAGCCATCGTCACACGCTGCTTGACCGAAAAAAATATTAAGAAAAAAATTAAACTGAAAAAATTGAAAGCAACTTCATGTTAAATTCAAGTAGCTTCCATGACCATAACGCCATATTGTGAGTGTATGGGTGTGTGTGCCGATTGCAGATTGCATTTGCGATTGGCAACAAGAAGGAAAAAATGGCTTTGAAGTGCGGCCCGCACAATTAAGCTCTCAACGCACAGCAGCTGCCACGGCGAATCGCCACAACAATTACATTTGTATCTGCAAAATGTAGCTATAACTGTATCTGCATCTGCATCTGTATTTGTATTCGTATTCGTATTCGTATTGGTGTCTGCCTTTCAACTGATTCCTTTGCTTCTCTTGTTTGTCTCGTTGCAGCCTGCAATTGCCATCTGATCGGCTCATCTGGCAAGATCTGCAACAGCACGACCGGTCAATGTCCGTGCAAGGACGGCGTCACGGGCCTGACCTGCAATCGGTGCGCCCCCGGCTATCAGCAAAGTCGCTCCCACATCGCGCCCTGCATCAGTGAGTAATCGATATACATACATATATCACAATTACCAGATGGGCCCTACGCGACACATAAATAATCCGCTCGTAGTACAGAAAACGTAGAGCTCATAAACAATCATGAATTAATTGCTGGAAATTATCGACTTTTGCGGGGGGGATGTCTAGCAATTGTCTAAAGTCTAGCAATATCGATATTTATCGGTTTTGTTGATAAACCTAGGCGGGGTGTATGCCAGAGAAAATCCTTTTAGTGCTACTAACTTATATAAGCTGAGAGCAGATGGGAAGCAGATAGAAGATGGTAGAAGGTAGACGAACAGACAGACGAATGCAGACACGATACGGATCGAAGGACGAGTAGACGAAGAGCAGTTGAGAATCTAAGACAAGAGATCAGGCGGACAGAGAGACAGCATAAAATAAATAGCAAGGAAAAGGGCGAAGAATCGACGAGCTTAATAAGAGAAGATCTCTGAATCTCTAAAATCAAAACACGAAATAGCTCCAGAATGGAAAGAAAGGCGAGCAGAAGAGCAGACAGACCTACAAAACGGAAAAAATATCGGGATGATAAGCGAAAAGTTAGACGGACCAATAGAAGAGCTGACAAAGAGCAGATCTATGAGTCTCGATATACAAAAGGCGAGCGATAAACGGAAGTACGCATAAGTCCAACAATAGGAAACTGTTATAATTCCGGATGAATAAATGAAAGAAAAATGGGAGAATAGGAGTAAAGATAAATGGAGAAATATATAATGAATAAAATAAGTAAAGATAACAAAACTCCTATAATAATATAGAGATGGGATGCAGATGAATTGAAAACAAGTAATATACCACATATTTAATTAGACCTCAATCATATCGACAAATGTATATGCTCTTAAATGTGATACAGTATGGAAGCGTATTAATATAGAGATGGGATACCGAGTATGGAAATACGTAATATACCATATATGTATATATTTCCTTAAGCCGCAATCGTATCCAAATATACCCTCTTAATATGGTTACGTAGGTGGATCAGCGTCTGATGTAACTGGTGCCTCCTGCACTTCGCTTTGAATATTCGCCCAGAGAATCTAATCCCTTGATATGATATCGTTTGCAGAGCAACCGCCACGCATGATCAATATGCTGGATACGCAGAATACGGCGCCGGAACCAAATGAATCCTCTGAGGGCGTTGGCATGGACAGAGGCGCCAGCTCAGCGGCCGCCCAATCGCAGTTCTATCGCACCGAGGGCGGCAGGGGTAAGTAAGTGCTCTCCCTCTCTCTCTCTCGCTCGCACTCTTTTTAGCTATCTTATTCGTCTATAGTATCAACATTGTTGTTGTTGTTGTTGTTGTTGTTGCTGGATGTTACTGCTGCTGCGGTCGCTTCTACTAACTATCCCAGACGGCAAACTTTTGGCGCGTCGCTTCTCTCGCTTTGTAATCCTTTCAAATGGGTGAGAAAACACAAATCCGCTAAAGTGCAGTCGGTTGTCGGTTAAGCGAGCCTCCAATGAAGACTGAGGCGGAGCTGTTGCTGCTGCTGCTGCTGCTGCTGCCTGAAAAAGCGTTCTGGAAGTGGGGGCGTGGCCGGCCGTGTGGGCGTGCAGCACTTAACAGATAGTGCAAATGTTTGCATGCAACTTTTAGTTACATTTTTGCTACACACTTTATAGCTGTGTTTGAGAGGGCTGGGGATGGCGGAGGTGGGGGCTCGGGGGGAGGGGGCTAGATGTGCACGCTGCAGCAACAAGCAAACAGAATGCGCAACAACAGCATAAATCATGCTAAAGCCGGCTGCCAACAGCCCGCCGTGCTACCGCGGCGCCACCACACCGCCCATCTTTCCCTAAACCCAGCACCGCAACCACCCCCCGCTCCACCGCTCACGCCCCTCGCATCATTTGGCGCGTGGCCGAAGTAAAAGCAAAGCAAACTTTTTCACAAAGTGGCAAAGCGCCGGCCCGAGCCCGAGCAGCAAATGGAAGAAGCCCCCATGCCCACGCCCACGCTGATGTATTAAAAAGTTTCCTTATTTAATTTGTTCGGCGTCCAGCGACAATGGTCGCACACTTTTAAGCAGCACTGTGCCTGTCGCCTGTTGCCGAGTGCCGACTGCAGCCGCTAATTGCTGTCAACTATTTGCATAGCGCATTTAGCAACTGGCAGCAGGCAGCAGGCAACAGGCAACAGGCCAAATGACAAATTGAAAGGAAATTGACAAAAGTCCTGGGCCGGCGTTGGCCTCCCCTGAGCCCAGCTCCCTGGCCAGCAGTTAAGCGGCAGAGGCTTGCCGACAGTTCAGCTAAAAGTATGACAACCAAAATGAGCTGTAATTCGACTTGAAATGTTATTCATAATAATATAGAAGAGATGGATACAGTGGAGTCACGACAATTGGAAATGTCAAGGGGATCAGAAATTCAAATTATCGAGAATTATCGAGAACCGTTTTTTTCCAAGAGGATACATTTTTATTTGATTTATCGCGAGTTTTTATTTGAGGAGGTACAAGCTATCGAGACTCGACTGTCTATACATTTAATAAGAAATTATTTTTGATTGGAGGGGAAAACTTTTAGAAATACTTGCATAGATTAGTCAGATATGATTACTAGAGGGGGGAAATGACAGAAAACTAAACTTCTTTCAGGATATTCAATGCCATTTAACTAGAGTGGGAAGACGTGATGAATGTCGCTTGGGAAGGCTCTGGAAACAGGCAACTCACTTAGGCATATATCGATATACCTAGTCGATAACTTAGATAAGTCTTATATATATATTTCATATTACGTACAATCTCTAACAAATAAATACATTATATTCCGGCTATAAAGATTCCGCCTATAGCGTCCGCACGGTTATTGCAACGAAAATTCTGGTCAACAGACAAACTTATATGAGCAAACTTATACGGTTATAGCGTCTTGTAGGTATAATAACGGTTGTCTACTGTAGTTTTATATATTGATTTTCACATTATAGCGGGACACTTCTTGACTTTCAAGAGAAGAGAAAGTATTGTAGATAAAGAAACAGATACAGATATGTATATACCCGTTTGATCGTCTGTCTTACAGTCTTCAGTTGATCAACACGCTCATCTGCCCAATCCGTGAATACTCCATCCTATAGTCCGTCTGTCCGTCTGTCCGCCTGTCTGTCTTTCCGCTCGTTACTTTGTCTCTAAACAACAGACACTGTCTGTCCATTACTCCGTGTGTCCGTCCGCCGGCCACTCTGTCTGCCAATCCGTCCATCACTTAAGCTGTTGAAGCGTTCATCCATCTGCCTGCCTGTTCGCCTCTTTGTCCGCTCGTCCATCCGCTCTTCCTTCCTATCCTCCGTCCGGCCATCCGGCCGACAGTTTATCCAATGTTACTGTTAAGTTCTTGTAGAAGCCAAGTCCCTATTCAAGGCACTTATATGGGCACACTAGGCGCATTTTCAAAATATTCTCTAACAACTGTCAAACTAATGCCTGTCGCTGCTTTACGCCAATGCTAAACAATAAATGTTTGTGACATGTAAAATTGATTCTATGCTCGGACAGAGACAACGCAGAGCAAGTGCCTCGGCCCAGTCAGCGCAGCGTATTAAAATTGCAATATCTAAATGGATCGCGCTGCATTGAAAGTGGCTTCGGTTTGTTACCTACCCCAGGCGCGCATTGCGGCACTCAAAGGGAACTGCAGATTGGGGCACACGCAACGTGGAGGAACTGCAGCAGGCGCCCAGTGGAAATAGTCGCTAGAGACGAATGCACATTGGGCGGCCATTCAGAAGAGAGCATCCATCATCAAATGCAAATGGGGCCAGAGTCAAAGTGGCTGGCCACCCACTGCTGGAGATTCAGCATTCAGTTAAATTTATTTGTCAATGGCAAAGAAAAGCGCAAAGTTGAGGCTGAGAAACCCAAGTGGAAGTGGAAGTTGAAGTTGAAGTTGATGTTGGAAGTTGAAAGTTTGGAAGTTTGCACGCTTGTAACCAAGAAGCGCACTAGAAAGATGGACAAAACACAGACACACAGAGACACACACACACACACACACACACACTCACACACACAGCGCAAAAGTTAGTCCTTGAATAGTGTTCGCTGCGGGGCAAAGGCAGCAGCAACTGGCAAAGTGAGGGCGCGTGATGGCGGGGGGCGTGGGTGTCGGCTATGAGCGTGGGCGAGACAGCTCGACATGAATATTAATTATGAATTTATAATTTGATAATCTTATTAAATTAATTTGAAATTCTGTCGGGTCGGAGTTAATTTAAAGTTAGTGCCAGGCTGTCGACTCCCCATCAGCCCCCTTCCAAAAAACTTCCAACACATTTTCTACTACTGCTCCCACCCACGCCCCTACCCAACCCAGCGACATCTACTATCGACCCGCTCTGATTTTGCATGTGAAATTTAATGACATGTTAATGCGATGCACAATTAAATGATTAACGAGTCGACTCCACTTGCCACTTGCCCCGGCGGTGGGCGTGGCCAGTGCTCTTTAGCAGCCGCAGCCGTAAATAGACGCGATAAATATCGCTGGGCCACTTAGAGCAGGAAATGTGGCGCCCGCCCAAAGCGAAGCATAGAAAAGAAGAAAATAAAAAACTCGAATTGTTCAGATCTCGTGCGAGCATAAATACCGAAATTGGAGGCGCGAGCCATTGAAATGTTGGCGCACCCAGCCAAATTTAGATGTTAGCCGGCCCCCACTGGGCCCAAGGCTGCCCTCCCTGCTTATCGATCAATCGTTGGACCGATCGATCGATCGATCGATCCGATACGATCCAATACGATCGTCTCATATAATACAAAGTTTATGCGTTGTGCATTGTGCCTCGATTGTGTCACGATTTGCTGGCAACGTCTCTGGCATTGGCAGCAGCAGCTGAAACAACATTGAGGCGGAAGTGAACGACCTACAGATACCCTGCCGGGGTCAGGCAGCTGACATTGGGCTAGTGAGAGAGTATATTTTGCAATTTGAGAGTATTTTGAGACTATTCATTGATTTTACTTAAAATCGGAATAATATAGATCTGCTCTATATGTATGTATTGTAGTGGAATTCAGCAAGTATATTCGATTTCCGTTAATTTAAAGCTCTGCCTCTAATCTCTATAGATATCTCTTGCACACATTTATATGTCTCTCTCTCTCTCTTTGTATTTTTTCCTCTGCCGTCAACTTGTACTATCCATTATCCCTCTTACTTAGTGATAGTCTCTCCCTCTCTCTCTTGATCTCACTCCCTCTCGCTCTCCCTTCTCATCTCGTCACAGGTTCTTTTTTCCCTTCTCCGTCTATATAGATATGTATATATGTATATCGTTATTTCGTGCTCTCACATTCTCTCACTCTCGCTCTCTATCTCTCTCAATTATTTTCTATCTCTTTCTTATTGATTCTTTGTCATCCATCTCTCTCTCTCTCAATCACTACCTCACTCACACACTCTCTCTCTCTCTCTCTCACTCTCATTCTCTCACTCTCTCTCTCTCTCTCTCTCACTCTCTCAATTACTCTCCATATCTTTCTTATAGATTCTTTGTCATCCATCTCTCTCTCTCAATCACTACCTCATTCACACTCTCTGTCTGTCTCACTCTTTCTCTCTGTCTCTCTCTCTCTCTTTCTCTCTGTCTCTCCCCCTCAACACTTCACTTCTATCTCAATCTTTCTCGGTCACTCTCTCAATTAAACGCTCTGCATTTATCTAATCATCATATACCCAACCCCATCCTCCGCTCATGTACAGGGTATTGCAACAGTTGCAAGAGCAACAACTGCAACAAACGATTGTGACTAAAAACAACAAACGAGGCAATTTGCATTGCAGCAATCAAAACACACGACGCTAATTTTAGTACACAAAAGGCGGCATTGACGACCTTAGACTGTCTGCCCCCCCTCCCCAACACTTCTTGTAGGCTCATGGTGGGCGTTTCAGCTTTAATGCAATACCGATCGAGCGCCTTAATGTGCGCAGTTATTGCTGTTGTTGCAGCAACAACAACTACAACAACAACAGTAAATCGTTTCGCCTGCTTTTGTTGCTGCTTTAGTTTCAGCTGCTGAATCGGATTTCGAATCGGATTCCCTTTCTGTTTTTATTTATTTTTGTTTCTGTTTGTGGACGCGCTAATTGGCATGGGCTATAAAGACATAAATTTTGCAATTAAATTGTAAACAGAAAAACGCAAAGAGATTCGTTGATCTGTGCATCTGTGCGATTTGCCTAATAACTCTCTCTCTCTCTCACTCTCTTTCTGTTCTCTCCCCTATTCACAGTTTGCGAAAAGTGCAAGGTCAGCACCAAAAGATTAAATCTCAACAAATTCTGCAAAAGAGACTACGGTAAGTCTAGATGGAGTATATAAATAGATCAATAAATATATCCTAAAACACACTATCCCTCTCTCTCTCTCTCTCTTTAGCAATAATGGCAAAAGTAATTGGTCGCGATACGAGCAGCGAGGCGGCCAGTATCGAGCGCAGGCGCGCAATGGATCCGTACGGGGACTACGAAATGGATCAACAGCCAATGGGCGGTCTGGAGTACGAGTATCGGGCGGGGCCGGGGCCAGCAGCAGCATTGGCTGGCATCAGCAGCAGCGCCAGCGTGATGGATTACCCAAACGACAGCGACACGGCCCGGTACGATCTGCTAATCCAATCGGTATTCAAGCGCAGCAGAACCACCGCCTATGGCATGCCGAATACAATGCTGAAACGAGGTCCTATGACCTGGATCATACCGATTAAGAATTTGGAGTGCCACTGTCCCAGGATCAAAGTTAACAGGTGAGTGAGTTCTATGAGAGTCGCAGAGTACGACTACAGGTACCGCTGCACTCATCCTGAGTTTCGTTCTCCTGAATATCGGCATATATACTATCATGAGAATAGCTTCCTAATGTCTTGCCCATACCAATTTCTCAACTCTGTTTATCATTGCAGATCATATTTGATTTTGGGGCGGGACTCGGAGGCGCCGCCCGGCTATCTGGGCATTGGTCCGCGTACGATAGTTATTGAATGGAAGGACGATTGGTATCGGCGCATGAAGCGGTTCCAGAGGAGGGCGCGCAGCTGTGCGTAGATGAGATGACCCACCGTCCCCACATTGCAGTGGCCATCTTTGTCACACAAATAATTTGTCTGTCACTTGTCAATTTCATTTACCTACCTTCAAGCTATATGTACTTTTTTTTTACTAAACATATGTGTAGATGTGTAGAGCTTAAATTTAAGAGTTTCAAATCAAATCAAAGCGTCGCAACTCAAGTGAATATATTTATATAAATATACATATACATTTTTTTTGCTTAGAATCATAGACCAGTATTCACTCAATGATATAGCAGATTGAAAATAATTAAAAACGCTTTGACAGTTACGCGCCAAATTATTTGAATTATGAAACGTAAACAGCGCTGCCACCCCCGCAGCATTGCCATTGCGTGCAATATATTTCTGCTAGGCAATGAGTGCAAAACTATCGCCATAGAGAAGAGCAATTCAAATGTATTGGCAGCAAATAAGCATCAACATATTTTATGTTTATTAGATTTTTTTTTTTTTTTGCAATATTATAATATAACTAACAGCAGCATTTAATTTGATTTGTTTAGCATTCTAAGGCCTAAATAGCTGTATTTAATTTATTTAATTAACTTTAATTGTTATTTGACTATCAACATATCTATAAATGCACATACATATATATGTATGTATTGAATCATTATAATTTGTATTATTATGTATGATAAGAACGCAGTCTTAAACATTCTATCAGCTTTCCCTATTTCACAACAATAAGAATTTATCAGTTAACAATAAATGTGAGCAACAATAACTACAATAGTCCACAAGTAAACAGCAAACCCATATTAGCCCGATTAAGCATAAATATATATAAGCAATGTACGCACCTTTATCAAATCTTAAACAAGTGTTTTCAAATGCAAATAAATAGATATTGTACAGTGCAACTCACAATTTATGCCTTTTCTCTTCTTTGAAATAATGCACAGTGCATTGGGATTATCGCTCCAAATTATTTGAATACGAAACACTACTAGCGTTGCCACCTCGGAGCAGCTGCCAGCGCGGGCTTTTTATATATCGGCTGTTCACACTCATGACGTCCATCGCCATAGAAAACAGAAATTTAAAAGTATTGTAAAAATGTTTTAACAATGGATAAGTGCGTATTTTATTTTGAGAGAAAACGCTTGTCTGCTTATGAATTTTTGTGTGTATAATATTACATGTGGTACATGACTGTGTGCGATGTGTTTGAACTCAAAATATTTTGCTTTTAACTCAAAATATTTTTGAGCTAAAAACAAGTAAACAAAAGTTAAAATGATTTATATATATATGTTAATAAGAGCGAAATGGCAGTGTAAAATAAATATTATATTAAATAGGTATAATATCGCGCGCAGCTAGATATGCAAGTACGATCTTGTACGATGATTTTGTGCTCGATATATCGATAGCTGGCGGTTGCGATATCAGAGTCAAACTAGTAAACATCGGACGCGCCAAAAATCATTCGCGAAAAGTGTGTCCCAATTCGAGCGTCAGGCAGGATTCGCAGATCGTTGCAATAGTGGTACAGAATACAAGTCAAGTGAGGATGAGCACAAGCCTGGACGATACAATATGCGCATATTTTGTCAACAACTTAAAGGGCGAAACAGATGCCGACTTGGCCATAGCTGGGCTCTATGCCAGCGCACTACAGTTGATGCGCGAGCAGCTGGCGGACACGCAAATTCGTGAAATTCGCCAAAGTGAAGGCTTTCCACTGATCGCCGGCGGTGGCCTGACGAAAAAGGATGTCTTCGTGCTGGCTTACTTCGAGGGCGATCTATTCGAGCAGCTGCAACTGACCAAGGCGCTGGTGCTGGGCCCGCCCTGCATTCTGGCGTGCCTGCAGGAGAACTCGCCCGTTCCACTGGGCAAAAGTCCCATCTATGCTACGGCCATGCGTGACCTGCAGATCTCGGCCAGCGGCATCAGCAGCAAAGAGAAGGATGACATTAAGAAACTAGTCCACTGGATGGGCGGTCATTATTTCCAGAACTTCGGGCGCAACATCACACACCTTATATCCAATACGATCAAGTCGAACAAGTATGAGCACGCCACGCTCAACGATGTGCCCGTCATGCACACCGACTGGGTGCAGAACGTCTGGGCGTGCTGTCGCAGCGGCACCCATAACATCAGCATCAGCGCCACGGATCCACAGTTCGACAAGTATCGCCTGCCCACGTTCTTCGGCGCCAACATCACGTGCAGCGGCCTGGACACGGCGCGCAAGGAGGCGGTGATGCGGCTGGTCAATGAGAACGGCGGCATCTATCATCGCGCCTTCCGCTCCCAGCAGGTGGACATCGTCATCACGGAGCAGTCGAAGACCGACACGGAAAAATACAAGGCGGCGCTGCGTTTCAAGAAGGACATCCTGCTGCCCGAGTGGATATTCGATAGCCATGAGCGCGGCTATGCGCTGCCCACCAAGCAGTACGAGGTGCGGGCCGGCAAGCAGGTCTCCACGCCCACTAAGCGCCACCATGGCGGCCATGCCAACCAGACGGCTGCGGACAATACCCAGCTCTCGGATCTGTCGCGCATCAGCTTCGTGAGTGCGCCGGGTCGTCGCATGTGCAGCGACAACACCACGCTCAACGAGACCGTCAGCAGCAACTGCAGTATCGGGACACGCAGCAGTGGTGCCGGCGGTGGCGGTGGCGGTGGTGCCACCAGCGGCTGTGGCCTTCTCAAGCAGGCCACCAGCAACCATAAACAGCAGCTGTACCAGGAGACACTGGCGGAGATCAGCCCGCGCAAGGCCAAGAAGGCGGGCAGCTTTCTGGACGGCTGCTGTGTCTACCTGAGCGGCTTTCGCAGTGTGGAGCGGGAGAAGCTGAATCGCGTGCTCAACACGGGCGGCGCCACGCGCTACGATGAGCTGCACGAGGGCCTCACCCACATCATTGTCGGCCAGCTGGAGGATGCCGCGTATCGGCAGTGGCAGACGGAGGGATTGCTGGCCACGGTGCAGGTGGTGCGGCTCGAGTGGTTGCTGGAGAGCATTCGAGCTGGGCGCATTGTCAGCGAGGTGCCGTATCGGGTCTCCGTGCCGCATCTTGCCAGCGAGGCCACCGACGCCCCCTCGCCGGCCAGCAAGCGCACGTTGCGCTCCATGAATCACAGCTTCAAGCAGCCATCGCTGCCCATGAAGAAGAAGCTCTTCGATGGGCCCACAGAAGTCGCCGATGCTCCACCGGAGCCGGAGCTGGAACCGGAGCTGCTCACGCACTACTCGCAGGACCAGGAGCCGGCCATGCCGCTGCCCGCCGCCAGCTCGACGCAGCTCTCACTGAGCGGACTGGCAGCTGCAGCTCCCGCCTCGGCCGCTGTTCCACTGGCCGTCGCCCTGCCCGACCTGAGCGCCAGCACGCTCTCCATCGACTTCGACAAGCTGGACTACTTCAGGGGCGCCTCGGTGTACGTGCACGAGCCGTGCTTCAGCAGCGAGCTGTACGACCAGATGCTCAGCGAGTGCAAGGCCGCCCAGGGCTGCCTGGTGCCGGCGAGCTACACGGATCCGGTGGACTATGCCATTGTCAGCTTTGAGCAGGCGCTGGATGAGTCCACGCTGCCGGTGCAGGCGCGTCACGTGGTCACCGAGCTGTACCTGGAGAGCTGCATGAAGCAGAACGCTCTGCTCCCGCTGGAGTACTACCATCGGCCGGTGCCGCATACGGCCAAGCTGGAGCCGCTGCGCGGCATGACCATTGTGGTGTCCATCTACGCGGGCCTGGAGCGCGACTTTATCAATGCGCTGGCCGAGCTGCTCGGCGCCGTGCTGAACAAGGCGTTCGTGAAGAAGGAGCGGCCGCTGCTCATCTGCTCCAGTGCCGAGGGCTCCAAGTACGAGGGCGCCCTGAAATGGGGCTATCCGGTGGTCCGGGCCGACTGGCTGGTGCAGTGCGCCCAGCGCGGCGAGAAGCTGCCGTATGCCGGTTTCCTGGTGGGCAAGAGCGTCAGCGACTTCCCAGTCTCGCCCGGCCTCAAGGAGAGCAACAGGAGCAACAACAAAACGCTGACGCCCAAGAACAAGGAGAAGACGCCCGTCACGCCGCAGGAGAAGGCGGCAGGAGTGGAGCAGCAGTCGACGCTGGTGGAGGAGGAGGATAAGGAGCAGCAGCCGCTGCAGCCAGAGCTGACGCCGCTGCGCAATCCGCGCATCTCGGAGCTGGTCACGGGTGTGGCCAGCACGCGGCGGCGCAGCTCGAGCGGCACCACCACGCCTGAATCGCCGCACACGCCGCTCAACCAGAAAATCAGCGCCGGAGCGTGCAACTTTGACTTCCTGGAGCAGGTGGTGGAGCGCCTGGACACGAGCCAGGCGCGCGACTGCGTGCGCCAGATAATCCGCGAGATGCGCGAGAACCAGACACCCGAGCTGGAGCGGATCCGGCGGCAGGCCTGCACGCCCGTCAATCGTCGCCAGGCCTCGAGGCCTGCGCCCGGCATACCCAACTTCTGCCTGACGCCCGAGTTCCAGCAGCGCATGGCCGACGACTTCGAGCGACGCTGGCGCCTGCCCAAGCACCAGATCAAGCCGGACACGCCCATAACGGTCATCCGGCAGCGTGTGATGCGCATCACGTGCGAGACGCTGGGCATTGACTACAGCGACAGCGAGAATGAAGGCGCGCCGGTGGCCGATCATCAGCCCAAGAGTATGGTGGAGCAGCCGGTGGGTCGCCTCCTGTTCCAGGCGGGAGCCACTGCAGCTGATGCTGCAGCTCCAGCCCCCTGCACAGCCACAGCGCCTGGCTCCCCGTTCGTGCCCAGTACACAGAGTCCCAGTGGCGCCGGTGCTGCACATGAGCTGCCCAGCGCCAGCACCATCAACTTTGACAAGATTAGCTTCGAGGAGACGGCGGCCGAGAACTCGCTGGAGCTCAAGCAGATCACCGACTACCTGAAGAGCCGCGAGTCGCGGCGCAGCAGCCTGAAGCGCGACCACGAGGGTCACGCCAGAAGCGAGGTGCAGTACGTGCAGCCCTTCGAGTCGGAGGGCTTCGCCATGGCCACCGGCGAGGATATCGTGGGCTGGCGAGATCCCGCCGAGTTCAACCTGGGCAAGCGGAGCAGCGCCGACGAGTCGTCGCGCATGATCTACCAGGGCACGCCCTGCTTTAGTATCTCGTGCGGCGACGACGAGGAGAAGCGCATGCTGCTCATGGAGCGCATTCGGCTGCTGGGCGGCCAGATCTGCCAGAATCTGTCCAACTATGATCCCGCCTGCACGCATCTGCTGTGCGAGCGACCCAATCGCGGCGAGAAACTGCTCGGCTGCATGGCAGCCGGCAAGTGGGTGCTGAACATTAGCTACATCGAGGAGTGCCATGCCCGCGGCGTCTTTCTGGACGAGTCGCTCTACGAGTGGGGCAATCCCAAGGCGCTCAATTTGCCCACCCTGGCGCCGGAGGAGCAGCAAATCGCAGCCGCTGCGCATCGCTGGCGGCTCGAGCTGACGCCCGACAAGGGCGCCTTCAGCGACTACCGCGTCATCCTCAGCCTGCAGGAGCGCAATCTGGCGGCCATCAAGAATGTGCTGCGCGCTGGCGGCGCCAAAATCCTGGAGCCCAGCTCACCCTTCAGCGCGGACCCCACATCAGCTACTGCCACCCACTGCTTCGTCGATGCCAAGAAGGCGCCGCTGGCCACCAAGGACTTTGCCTATCTGCAGCAGCAGGGCGTTCGCATCATGTCCCAAATGTGCATCAATAGCTACCTGATGGGCGGCCGGGACGCCAATCTCGAGAAGTACGTCCTGCGCCAGTGAACGACGCCTGTTTCTTATCTATTTACATAATCATTTTTTCTTTTTTTTTTTAATATTTTTTGCTTTGTTAAAATTTTTTTCATGTTAAATAATGTCGGCTCTGAGGAGCAGACCCGACCTTAGTCTGATTTCAATATAGTTCTAAGATTTGCGAGTTAATAAATGTTCGTTTAGAAGTAGCTTGGCCTGAAGCTCCAATACTCCATTACTCATAAACAACAAGTGCCCAGTTCTTGTCTGACAGTAGTCGTAGTTGACTCAACGTATAGGACGGGGTCACTCAATACATAAGAATGGGATTGCAGCACTATATCTGAATTTCTACTTGTACTTGTTCAATTGAATGATGAATCTTTTCCATATAATGGGAACAATATTTAATAACTCTCATTATTGATAATTTCTTTGTGCAAATGATATGCGTATCTATGATTGGGAGCCTCGTTAACCGGAAAATACTTAATATGATCTATGCGCCTATCATAATTTCAATATAAATCTATATATGTATATAAAATATTTTCCATACTATCAGATAAGTTTCTTGACTCTCTATGATAGTTACATATCTCATTTTCAATGCTAACTATAATATATCACATATCATTTATAGTAATCCATAGAATAAATGATGTCATATAAACCAAGGATTGTCAAATCTACAATGAAAACTAATTCTGTCATCTTTTTTTTTTTTTTTACATATTTTATTTTGTGTTACACAATAAGGAATATTAAGTTGATTTTCATGTTACGTGCATGTTTATATATATATATATATAAGTATATATATGTATGTAGCTAAGTTTATGTATTTATTTATATATGTGTGTGCACTAAGGTACCTACTAAGTATGTACGGGTATACAAATATGTGTATATTAGGCGGCCATGGGGAGAAATTTCAATTTGATGAGCAGCTGCCGGGATTATTTAGACATCTTGGATTTCAATATAAATAACAATGTTAAACATGAATACATATATGAATATATGCGAAGTATTCAATCAAATGATTTTTACATTATAGAGAGTAGAGACATTTATATATATATATATATCATTCGCTTACTGGACACCGAGCTAAGAACAGAGACAACACAGAGAATTCAACTCGTCGCGATCCAATACTTTGAGCTTAACAAATATCTGAATATACAATGTATATTTATAACAACCTAGTCCAAGTAGTCCATAGTCTTGATGAACTTAACAACGGAGCCGAACAGCGTCCAGTAGAACTCATCCTCGCCGTACAGCTTCTTGCCCAGAAAGCAACTGATGTATTCCACGGTGGAAAGCAGATACGGGGGATTAGCCTGGAATGCAATATAGAAATATATCATTCGAGTGCTCAACTGGCAGATGGAGCCTCACTTACCATGATGACAACGTAGATGAGCACGGGCAAGATATCGTCGGCGGCTGGCACACGGGGACTGGACATGCGCAAGAGGCTCATGATGCTGGAGATGCAGCTGCGAAAGGAGTTCTCAATGAAATACTGGCAAATATGAAACACTAGGCAACACCTACTTGATGATGCAGTTGAGCTTCTCGCGCGGAGTCTTGTAGGCGGCCATGTAGCACAGCTGCTGCTGGGCGAACGTCCAGGGTGCCTCGCCCAGGAACTCCTGGGCAATGCAGAGGGCTGGATGTGCCGGATGGACGAAGCGCTGCAGCTTGCCAATGTGCGCCGCCAGCACGCCGTCCCTGGAGACGTCGGCATCCTCGTTGGGGAACATCACCTGCTCGTACATCTGCTCCAGCAGCAGTCGCTCGATGGCCACGCGCGCCGCCTCCCGCTGCCAGTCGTTCTGCAGTCCGCTGTCGGCCAACTCCTGCAGCAGAGTTTCGATAAACTCCTCGATCAGCTCCAGCCGCTCGTCGCTGACGCTCAGCTGGGCGAACTCGGCCTGGAAGGTCTGCAGCTTGGCCTGCTGGCGACCCAAATAGAGACGCACTAGCGATTGCAGCAGACAGCGCTGGCAGCTGCGCGCCTCCCCGCGCAGCCGCTCCTCCAGTTGCTCCAGCTGCTCCGAGCGCAGCAACAGCTGCTGGCGATGCACGAGCAGGTACTGCAGATAGCTCTGCCTGCGCTGCAGATCGTGCTGCAGCTCCAGCAGCAGCTGGCCGTGCTGCGGCCGCTCCAGCTGCGCCAAACAGCGCAGCGCCTCCGCCACATGGGATATCTGCGGCAGGCGCTGCAGGCTCGTGCACTGCGCCAGCTGGATCTGCAGGTACAGCTGCAGCGGCGTCGCGTCCTGCTGCCTCAGCGTCGTCTGGCGGAAGTCGCCGCTGTGCAGGTCAGTCTTTGAGAGAACCGTGCGCAGCTTCTGCTTGACGCTGCTGAACACCACGCCAGGTAGCTGCCTGCACACGAAAGAGACAAAGAGAGAGCGGAAGAGAGGGAGAGAGATATTACATGTCATAGACAGGGATATCAGCTGCTGCTACATACCCGCCATTGATGGCCTGGCCATGCGGCTGGGGCAGACCGTGGCCATTGCCCGTGGAATCGGAGTTGGTTGCCTCGCTGGAGCTGCTGACCTTGCGCCTGTACTTGGCCAGAATGTCCTCGCTGCTATCACAGAAGTGGGCGCCGAAGCTGGCGCAGGCGGCGTTGCGATCGAAGCTGACGCCGCGATTCGGATCGCCCAGGCCGCTGCTGTGGTTGCTGATGATGCAGCGCTGGTTGGCCGCCGACGTTGATGCCGCCTTGCTGTTGTTGCTGCGCCGATTCTTGAAGATGCCCTGCCGCAGCTTGTTGAGAATGCCGGCGCTCTGGTCCCGCTGATCCCGCTGCGCTCGATGCTTGTCCTTGTCCGCGCTGGCATCGAAGCTGATGCTCTTTGGTATGGCGCCGGTGGCCTTGCTGGGCTTGCCTTGTCCGCCAGCTGCAGCAACAGCAGCAGCAGCAGCAGTGACGGCTGCTCCTGCTTCTCCTGTTGCTCCTCCTCCTCCTCCTCCTGCTGCTGCTGCTGCTGCTGCTGCTCCTGTTGTGGCGGCGGGCTGATCATCGTACAGCTGCAGCTGCTGCGCCTGGGCACAGAGCAGCTGCAGCTCCTGCTGCTTGTCGTCGTCCGTCTTGGGCTTGAGGGACAGCAGAGCGTGCAGCATGATATCGTGGTTCTCGTAATTGAGACTCTGATGGCGGCGCTCACTGCCGCCCGCCAGGATGCCGTTGCGCCGCCCATCCTCGCTGGCCGTGCGCTGCTCCATGGAGATGCGACGATGCTGGACACCGCTGCGCATCTGCTGCTCGATGCCAAACTTGTCCATCAGCTGCTGCACCAGGCCCGGCGGCTCCTCCTTGTCCTCGCTGTAGTCACTAAAGTCGATCAGGTCATGGTGATCGTTGGCTGCCATCAGCTGCTGTTGCTGCTGCTGCTGCTTCTTCTTCTTGTGGTGATGATGATGATGGTGATGGTGGTGATGATGATGGTGGTGCTGTTGTTGCTGCTGCTGCTGCTGCTGCTGTGCCTGACTGGTGGTGGCCGGCTCCTCCAGGTTGAGGCTCTGGTTGGAGATGCTGCTCTCCGCCGACGTCTGCCGGCGCATGCAGGCGATGCCCATGAGCGGCATATTCTTGCGGCCCTCCGCTCCGCTGCACTTGTACTGCTGCTGGAAGCTGCTGTCGCCGCTGTCGCTGCCCAGGCCATGGTAGCTGGTGCGCACCGAGCTGCGAGCCAGCGAGGAGGCTAACTGATAGAGATGCGCATCCTCGTACGAGTTCACGGCGTCGAAGAAGGCCGAGTCCTCCTGGCTGCGCTCGCTGGCACTGGCATTCCCATTGCCATCGGCATCCGCATCTGCGTCGCCGTCGCCGTCGCCGCTGCTGCCCGGCGTCTGTTCCCCGTCGTCCAGCACAACGGCTGGCACCATGGGTGCCGCAATGTCGGATTTGGCGGTTATGCTGGCATTGTCGTCCGTATCGATCTCGGCCAGCTTCTCGGAGTCGCTGGCCAGCACATCCGTGCTCCAGTTGGACTCTGAGCGCTGGTCCGAGGCGTCCAGCGATGGGGCCGCTGCTCGGGCGAGCGCGTCCACCACAAAGTTGTTGTTGTCGCCGGGCAGCACCACAGCGGACGGTATCAGGGGCGTGGCAAAGTTGCGCTCCCGCTCCCTGTCCCGGTCGCGCTCCCGCTGCTGCTCACTGCTGGCGTCCAGCGTCGTCTCCGAATCGCTGGCCAGCACATCCGTCGACCAGGTGTCCGAGATGATGCTCACGTTCTCGTCGCCCTCGAATTTCTTCAGCTCGAACTTGCAGAACTTGTCCACGATGTCCGAGCGCGCCTTGGACAGCAGCATCTTCTGCATCTGCGGCGTGGGCCGTGCCGCATGGTGGGTCAAGTCGCCGCCGGCGCCATCGCCATCCGTCACCTGGGACGAGGGCGTGTCCCGGCCACTGATGTTGGGCGTGCCACGGCCGGACACATTGGCGGACACCATGTCCGACAGATTGTCATCGTTTTCGACGTCGTGCGCATCGCGCTCCTGCTGCTCCTCCAGGTCCAGGGAGCTGACCACCGAATGATTGGCCGAATGGGCCGCCTCGCTGATCGCCTCCAGATTATCCGAGTTGCCGATCGAGGCGTCGTCATGGGGCCGTCGCATCGCATCCAAGCTGCTGACATCGTCCGCATTGGAGGATGCGGCTGCCGCCGTCACAGTCACGGGCGCAATATCCTGCCCGATGCAGTTCATCTTCAGCAGGTCCTCCTCGGTGAGCGGCTTCAGTTTGTTCTTGGACGCCGCATTGTAAATGCTAAACATCAGCACCTGCTCATCCCCCTCCACGGGAGTGTCCGCATCCGGCCCAGCTGAAGCAGTTGCCACGGCTGCTCCATTGCTGGCACCGCCGCAGGAGCTGAGGCTGGTGTTGCTGCCACTGTGCGAGGAGGAGCACTGCTCCAGTTCGCCATTGTGCCCATTGGCCGAGCTGCCATTGCTCAGGTCACTCAAGGGATTGTTGCTGCTGCTGTTGTGGTTGTTGTTGTGGTTGCTGCTGCTGCTGCTGGTGTTGTTGTTGTTGTTGTTGTTGTTATTGCTGGTCGTGTTGGTGGTGAAACTCATGCCCTTGGCCAGCTTCTTTTTCGTCGCCTTGCCCAGCCGCAAGAGTCCCTTGTTCGAGCGCTTGCCATTCTTCTCGGGCGACACCGATTCGGGCGGGGCCATGGACGAAGCTGCCGCCGGTCGATCGCCCTCCGGCTTGGGTATGCGCGAGAGGATGCGCTGCAGTCGCTGCCGCTCCTCGGCGGACACGTCGTACTCGTCGCGCGCGGCCAGCAGGCGAAAGAAGTCGGCGAACTGCTGCAGCTCGCGCTGATTGATGGCCAACTGGGCGCGATCGAAGTCGCTCTGCTGGGGCAGAATGGCCACCACATCCTCGCCGGTCTGGCCCAGCAGCAGCAGCTCCATCAGCTGGGTCAGCTCGCTGGCCTCGTCGCTGAGCGCCATGCGCTGCAGCAGCTGGACAATCTGATTGAGATTGTGGCGCATCTGCTCGCCCACGTTGACGTCGATGATGCCCTGCAGGTCGGCGCTGACGATGGCGGGGCAAATGAAGTGGGTGAAGACCAGATCGGTGAGCAGCTGGCGTATCTCGTGGTCGCTGTGCCGCTGCGTCTGCCGCAGCTGCTGCCCGAGCGTCTGCAGCAGCCAGCGCAGCGAGCTGGGAAACAAGGCCCAGCTCTGCTGCAGGCTGCGCACGAAGCTCTGCGCATGCGCATGCAGCTTGCCCAGCGTCTCGGCGTGAAAGCGCGCCACGCTCCGCTGGTACTCGGCGCTGGTGTCGTCCTCGCCGAAGCGCCGCTGTCGCTCCCGTGCCGAAAAGCTCTGCAGCAGCTTGTGCGGGTCGACGTCGAGCAGCACATCGTGCTCGCTCAGCACCGCCATCAGCGGCTCGTGCAGCGCCGACGTCAGAAAGATTCGGGCGGAGAAGAGCGACTCGACGAGTCGATGATAGAGCCTCGCAAAGGCGCTGCCATTGGTGCGCAGCAGGCGACGCGGCTGCTCGCTGTTCAGCAGCTGCAGCTCGATCAGCTCGCGCAGCAGCTTCAGCAGCAGCTCCACATCCTTGGTGTTGATCGCGTTGCCGTAGAGGCCCGTTGCGATCGTGTTGACGATCTGCCCCAGCTGCGCCGGCGCCAGCAGCGACAAGCGATCCGCCGTGGCCAGCGACAGGGCCAGCAAATACGGCGTATTGTACAGATAGTTGAACAGATCCTCATAGGCAAGAGCGTGCTGGAATTGTTGGATCGAAGCAAAAGCATTATTATTATTTCAGGAAAATTTCTATTTATATAGTTCTAGTCTAGCTTCATTGACAACAGATGTTTATAGCTAAATTAAATTTAGGGAAAGTTTAGATTCACATATATCTATTCTTAGACCCATTTAAATATATATAAATAAATATTCCTAATTGAATTTAATGTTAAGACCATTTTAACTCATTTATTTCTATTCTAAAATATTAAAAAGTTTTTATTCGAATGTAAAATAGAAAAGCTTTCCCAGTCATATTCCTAATCTAGTTGATAAGCTATATCGATATGGCTATATGTATATATAAGTATATACATATTTGTATATACTTATATATACATATGTATTTCCATGTTCCTATCTTTTTGTTATCGATAAGAAGCAATTTTAAGCTGTGTTTAAATAAACGGTATAGGTCCAAGGGCAGAAATTGTCGAGGGACAGATTATATTTATATATAATCAGCTGATGACAGAAATTTCTTTGGCTGCACTATGTGACTGGGATATAGTAGTTCCTACAATTTACCGATGTATGTATGCCTGCTGTATGCAAGGGTCTCGTCTGCCCACTCTATAGACGTATCAAAGCTAATCAGAAATACATTTATGGCAAATGCCAACAAGTCTAGTCGGAAGTGCCTGACTAAGAAACACCCCGAACTATTCTAATCTTCTAGGCATTACAAGCAAGAATTGCTGCTACTTATATCGACTCAGCTGGTTATCCTGATCAAAATTATATACTATATGGGTTCGATCACGCCTACTCCTACCTATTATAAACTCTATCATAAACCAGTCGCAACTGGAATTTGACTAGCACACCCTATAATGCAGTTGCCTACGATACAGTTGCTGATAGCCGTTACAAATTTACGATTATTTTTACAATTTACGACTTAGAGTTACCGACTTCCATTTGAGCTAAAAAAAAAAAAAAGTTTCCTGAATGGAAATAACTACGCATAAAACATGAATCTACGTTATAACTGTATCAGAGCGAAACGAAAAAATATTTCCTCCATTTACATCGGACGTTCTTTGTTGTCTGGGCAGTCCAGAGCCAGCTGATATGTTAGCTCATGGATATGCACCCTATATACCATATATACAGCGTGTTTATATAGACTTGTCAGCTCCCGCTCTCTCTGGCTCTCTACGATATTTAGTTGTTACACACCTCGTAGGGCAACACCTTCTTGGCGTCCACGAATTTCGGATTGTCGTAGGTGCTCGCACGTCGGCAGCAGAGGAACGGATCGTGATCCGTTCTGGCCAGCAGCAGATCGTGCAGGTTCTGTCTTTGTTGGGCACAGATGTATGCCAGCTGAACAGAGATCAAAGTGGATATAGATCATTAAGGTGAAGCAACAGTGAGACGTGACATTCTTAATAAACAAATATGGGTGCGCACCTCGGTTATTGTCGTCGCATTCGTCTCCAAGGCTGACGTGAGCTGTGCAAACGCCGCCTGTTCATGCTGTATGAAGAGCTGTTCCTGCCGCAGGGTCCGTGCCAGATCCATGATCTCCAACAGATTGCCGCCAGCTGTGGGCTCCATGATGAGGCCCTTGCTGTGTGGAGTCAAAAGAAAGGAAACATGATTAAAATTATATATGAATTAAATATACTACTGTATTTTATTTTAAAATATTTAATATACTTTCATAACAGTTGTTTCATGATGCCAATTTTACATCTGAATACACCAAAGTTTTTCCTAGAAATTAAATTCTCTTTGATCCCTCAAATTCCATGACTTTGGATATTTGTTACATATTATATTATACATTTTATTTATACACCTATTTATAGCTGGTATTGCATTGTATCAAAACTTTCTCTGATGTCGAATTGGAAAACTATTTGTATGGCAATTAGCGCGCATTTGTGATGCCAATGGGCTGACAGATTCAGTTACATTTATCTGATAGTACAGCTCGTATGTGTATGTGAAATAATACACACACATACACATACACATACACTTATACATATGCAATCGAACTAATGTAGCTGAACAGCATCAGCTCATGCAAAGCGTTACTGAAATGAGCTATTGCCTGGCCTGAGCTTATCAACCAGTTTTTTGTGGTTTTTTTTTTTTCATTCCTGAATTTGACGACGACTCCAAAATTCCACTCAAACATACAAGATTCCAGATATATGTACAATAATTCCTAGCTTAAAAATTAAATATATTTGTATATAACATATCTCTGGGAGTGAAAAATGAAATTGTGAATTTGGGGCATATAATTGGAGTGTCTAAAAATAAACAAATGTATTTTGCCATCACTGAGAGAAAGAGAGATAGAGAGAGGGAGATATATGTATATGTATTAACATACATACATATATTGCAATGCTTTTATGAAGGAAATAATTGGGCCATAAATATTGTTCTCTGGGAACCTGAGTCGATCATACGAAGTAAACGTAACTCGTGACGAATATGTGAATATGTTCACATATTGCGATTATTATCATTATTTGGGAAAGTGTTTGGATTGCCTCCACGTTATGTAAAGCAGTAGATATATGTATGTATGTACATATATTTATATATGTATGCTATATTAATGCGATTCGGTCTGAAGAGCTTTGACATTTTGGAACTGATTTAACATTTGGTATACAGGAAAAAGATCATTAATGGCAATTTATCATGCAATCATTAGTCAAAAGCATTATATAATATATGTATGTATGTACATCTCTTAAGTTATAGCGAATTTTTGGGACTGCTTGTAAAAGTGTTCGAATTTATATTGGCAAACTGGACCTGGAAATTAGTTTGGTTTTTATTTGATTTTTGTCGACTTTTCGACTATATCTTATCGATATCTGAGCGTAAGTTTCGTTGACTTCCAAGTCTTAGCGAAGCTTTACACGCCTAGCAAATTAGATAAACGCTATGACCAATTTGCAGGTAACCGGCAAAATAATGACTGGACTGAAATTGAAACTGATTTATAAATACATATGTAATTATAACAGTGTGTGGGAATAGAACAATATGTACATACACATACATACATATATGTATATGTAATATATTATATTTTGCGCAAAATGGCAAAATTAAAGGAATGTGAAAACAAAAACCAAACAATACAGATTTAGTGCGCTCATTACGCACACACATATATACACTCACACACACACACACACTGCGACACAGACACCCCGTAAAGGGGGCGTTTAAATGTGCCAGCAGATTGGGGGTGGCGATCTCTCTTTGTGAGCAGACATACATATGTATATACACACAAACATACACACATTCACATGTGTGTGTGTGTGTGCTTAAATTTGTTATTTTACGTACCATGCACTGAATACAACGAACGCGAATGACAATCAAAGCGTACGCGCCAATCGCCAAATGAATGGAAATGCAATAGCAATCACTGTTGGATGGGCAAAGGGAGAGCAACAGCAAAGAGGAAACAGCGAGAATAGGCGAGCAGGCGAGCGAGCGAGCAAGCAAGTGAGAGCACGCATTAGGCGAAGGCCAAGTGCTTCATAGTTGTTGTAATTGTTGTTATTGTTGGCGCTGCTGCTGCTGCTTCTGCGGGCGCTACTGCTGCTGTTAATGTCTTCTGTATTGCCGTAAAGAAAGCCAACGGACTTATGAATGAAAGTGACGCGTTACAGCAAATACAACCAAAGAGAGTGAGAGGGACAACTGCGTCATAACAAACCAATAATAAAGCATACGCATTTACGTATGCATGTATGTATGTAGTATAACTAATAAAATTGTCTTACTTTAAAGTTAGGCAGAGACACACTCATACACAGCAGTAGTTCTTGGGTATGGTTATTTGCCCATATAATTAGCTAGTCATTTATCATTTATTGTCACAATAAACACGAAACACACAACAGACAAAACGAAGTGGACGCCTCCGCAGTCAGCAATACAACTGTTTTATAGCGCGTGTGAAGCTGCGCTGAAGTTGTGTGGGTTAGTTTGCCAAATGCTTCACTGTGGGTTACTGCTGCTGCACATTCACATTTACATTCGCATGCACACAACACAGACATCCAACGAAACAGACTGATATCTTTTCGACTGCGTCTGTTGGTTTTGGCTCTGCTTACATTTGGATTTGCTGTATTGGATTTGTTTGATTGATGTATTCGTTGACTGTCTTAGCAATTGATAATTGCAATGCAGGATTAAATGTATATTTAACAATAATAAATAAAAAAAAAAACAACAACAAAATTAGTACAATATCAACCACACGCGACGGCCAAATAGAAATAACAAAAACAATCAACTCATTACTTCTACGATTACATATACACTGAAGTGGAAAATAAACGGCAACCTGTTATCGATACATTTGAAGAGCTATCGATGTGGCCAGTCTGCCTATTGCAACCAGTGCTACCAGATCTCCAGGGCTTAAAACAACCATATCAACCATTTAAAGAAGCTTGACATTGTTTTAGTAGTTTTTTAATATTATAATGTAAATAAATTATTTAAAAATTCCACTGGGACTACACTGCTTTAAAGCACATTCATTGGCATATTTATACTGCTCGGCAATCATTCCATTACAATCTTGAATATTATATTGTTTTAATTTCCTAGCTATTCATGTAGAATTTCTGAATTGAATACTCATTAATTCACTAGTCGGCTAATGTATGTAATTTATTGCATCCCACTCGCATTTTTGAATATTTGCCTGCCCATTTCGATGAAAAAACGGCATCGATGATGTTCAACTATCGATTGTTAAATATTCAATATTTTATTTGTATGGAAATTTGTCAGTTGTGCTACTGCAATTAAAAATTGAGCCATTTATTTTTGCAACAAAACTCCCTCCAACGTTCATTTCAAATTTTTCCCAGTACTTTCCAAACGGCGAACTTGGCGGGCAAATAGCCAAATCGATAACAGCTCCGACAGTGCTGGGCAGGCTTGTGGTACGAGTGTTTTATAGCACTATAAGTTTCCAGCAATCGACAGCTGTTTACGCTTTATTTTAGTTTGCTGTCATATTGTGAAATTTGTTCCTGAAGCATTTTTCGAAAGGAATATATAAGAAAAATATTATGCCTAAAGTACGCCGTAGCCGCAAACCACCGCCAGATGGCTGGGAGCTTATCGAACCGACACTGGAGGAGCTGGAACAAAAAATGCGCGAAGGTATGCACAAAGGCTGAAAGCCGCCTCATGTACTGCAAGCAAATATACGGAGATATACAAAGACGTATATATGTATGTGTGTATGCAAGTATGTAAATGTGCTGCTGGAATATTTGCTAAAATTGGGTTTTGCAGCTGAGACGGAGCCACATGAAGGCAAGCGTATCACAGAGTCGCTATGGCCCATCTTTAAGATCCATCACCAGAAGACGCGCTACATCTACGATTTGTTCTATCGCCGCAAAGCCATCAGCCGGGAGCTCTACGACTACTGCCTGAAGGAGAAGATCGCCGACAGCAATTTGATAGCTAAATGGAAGAAGGCTGGCTATGAAAATCTATGCTGCTTGCGCTGTATCCAGACACGCGACACCAACTTTGGCACCAACTGTATTTGCCGCGTGCCGAAGTCCAAGCTCGAGGAGGGTCGCATCGTTGAATGCGTTCATTGTGGCTGCCGTGGCTGCTCCGGCTAAGCCATTTTTATATACATATAGTTTGGACATGAATTAGTAATTTATATATATATATATATATTTATTTTTTTGCCAACATTGATCGAAACTTCAGTTTCAATGTAAATAGTTCACATTGATCGCCAATCCCGCACAGATCTTAACGAAATGGATTGAATCATATAGTACAAAGGCTACTATTTAGTCACTTTGTATGCAATATATAAATTATATACTGTTTTATATATGTATTTTGTGAACAAGTTCATAAGAATTTAATAGAATACAAAAAAAATATCTACAATTACAAAATCAATTTATGAGTCAATTTCATAGTTGTGCGAGTTGCAGGCGTTGCAGTTAAATCTGTTTTAGCTATACTAGAAACTCCTGGAATTTGGCCAGCTATGAATTGTTTTCATTGAATCGAAGTCTGTTGGTCTCAGGCTCCCATTTATATCAGTCTGATATCGATTTCATTCTATGCTTTGCACGAATTTGAGAAACCATAGAGTGCTCTCGTGGGCAATGCTCGACTAGATGATACCTTGTACTGAATATGCTAGTCCTCTAGCACATGAAATTGGGGCCCAGCTCCTCGTCTCTTCAAATTTGCTCTTAAATAACTTGGATTCTCAAAAAAAAAATAAACATCAAATAAATAAAGTAACAAATATAATAAAAATAGAAACGAAAAGAAAAAACTAAACATAAATAAGAAAATTAACTACTTGAATTTCAATTTTCTAAAATACCTCATTCAGGGTAAAGCATTTATGGCTTTAAGCTCATGAAACGAACTGTTCAAACACCTATAAATACTTTAACTGAAAACAAACGATATCTTTATTCTCCATTCAACATTATATTTTCAGTTAAAACAGAGCCACTTTATATATCTATGTATGTATATTGAAATATTGTAGAGCTCTGCGCACAGCCGCTCACCTTGATGATGGCCATGTCGCCCACAGCGCGAAACGTTAAACTCCGAGAGAAGACTAAAAAGGAAGAGTTGTCAAGGCTCAAATGAATGCCTCAAAATCCTATTTTATTTCCATGCACACACTATGTACATACATATATATTTATATTCGTTTGTATGTGTGTGTGTGCAAAACATGTTTTGCCATTTTGTAGTAAATTCTCGCCACAAATCCTATTGGGCTGGCGTCCATTGCTGCCTGCCTGCCTGTCTGTGTGTGTGTGTGTGTGTGCGAGTGTGTGTCGCTCTAGTCGACACGAACACCCACACACACACACGCATACACACACGTATCGTATATTTTAATTTAATGCCCTGAGCAATTTATTACTGCGCTGACATAATTCAAACTCAATGGCATTGGCATTGGGGGCTTCGGCTCCACAAAGTGAAGCTGGGTTTGAGGCAGCCGGCGAACTGTCGCTTTATGTGCGTATTTATGGGGACCTGGACTTGACTGAAGTGGACTGGACTCGCCTTCAAGTGCCGGCCACTGCTCGAGGGGTGCTGTGGCCTCTGTGCTGCTTTGACTGGGTCACAATTCGGCAAAATTATTATAAATGGCTTTTTAATTATACTTCTGACCAGTTTTTTCTCTCCCTCCCCCCTTCTCACTCTCTCTCTCTCTCTTTCTCTATCTCTTTTGGCAGCCAACTGGAAATAGAAGCGTATTTTCTATCATCATATTTTGTATTATAAAGCAGCTTCAATATATTTTTTGTGCGTCTGCTGCTGACAGAGCTCAGCTCAAGGCTTTGGGATAATTATTTTTGGTCGAACTTTTTCCACCAGACTCTCGTCTCTTCTCGTGCTCTTATCCAAATGAATTTCCATTCAATTGTTGATGTATGGCCATAGATATAGTATTAGCCAGTCTTGGCCCAGACGAGCTCATTGAAATTGTTGAAGTTTAATGAAGCCTACGAAAGCTAATGAAGTGGTAAGTCGCTAATAATGCCGAAATACCATAAAGCAAATTTCGAATGGAGTAGAGCTGAGAACAAGACGTAATTCTAAGCACGCAAGTTGTTCGAAATCGGGTCTTATAGGTGGACAAATTGTTTTGCTAATTGAAAAGGAATCCAAGGGAAAAGAAACTTTTCAGAGCAACTTTCTAAATTAGGCCAGACTTTATCATTTGTTGATGTAGAGAAAAGGAGCTAATGAAATAGATTCATATAGACAAATATAGAGGGCTAGATAATATAGGAAGGACATAAAGATAAAGGCAAGGCGAGCGAAAAGAGAAAAATCAGTAAAGCAGAATGAGAGCTACATATATGCAGAGTAAATGAGAAATCAAAAGATAAAATAAAAGATCACAAAGAGAGAACCTTAAAGAGAAATTGTAGAGTCAAAGTGAGAATTAGATGATATAGATATAGACTCATGCTAAATGAGATGAAAGGAAAAACAAGCTATAAGGCACAGATAAAATGAGAATGAATTAGAATGAAGATAAGAGATTCAAAGTAGAGGGAGAAGAATGGGGAATAGATAGACATGACAGAGAAAGGCAACAAAAATTAAAGATTAATATAGGGAAAAAGATAGAAATACGAAAGTAAAACATGATATGATATGTGAGTAGCAAGAGAATTGCATAAAAACAGAGAGACAACAAATACGCATACATATTGAGGCAGATAAAAACCTATTTAGCATATTGCTCGATTTGATTGAAAAACACATTGGCAATAGATCATGCGAGCCTCACTGACATACATACATGTCATACATATATGTATGTATATGCTGGTATTTTTTAAGAGTGGTAAAATATTTATTTTGCAAAAGTTGCACTCAAATTGATGACATTCCGACTTATTTGGCCGTTTAAAAAGTTTCCATTAAGCGCGGCATTTTTTCGGGCGCCGTTTTATAAATGGCAGCAGCCACTGTAATTGAGTTGCCTGTCAGCTATTATTGAGGAGTTCCCTTGTTTTCGTTCCTTTTGGGCTGGGCGGGGGACGTGGCTTTGTTGTTGTTTTTATTGTCAGGCCAGGGGCACTTAATTTAATTGTTGTGCCGAGCTCTACCTGCATGCAATCCATATCCATGCGGCGACAGGCAGCAACATGTCCGCCAGGCCTGACAAATCGCTGCGACGCGACCAATCCATCAAATCAAAAAAGAAAAAACTCTCTACCTGGCGTGCCACTTGCCACTTGCCACTTGCTGCTGCTGCAGTTGCAGAGACAACGGACCGCAGGTTAGAGCCAGAGACCCAGACGCTTGTTGATTGGTTTATGGCTATTCGCTTATCGCAGTCGCAGTTGCCCCTGCTGCATCAGTTGAAGCACACTCTCTCCTCCTCCCTCTCACTCTTTCACTGGTGCTCTTATCAGTGTGTGCGAATGTAAATGCCAGTTACTCAGCTGCTTCACTGCTGACAGCCCGCCCGTCGATAAGCCGCACTTGAACTTGCCTTCGCGTTGACCGAAAACTGTTTGCTTAGCCAGCATCTAAGTAGATGCTTAAGCGAATTCGATTTACATTTTGTATATACATACATATTTACAACGAATGCATGCGAGCTATGTATATATATGTATATGTAAGGCTGATACTGTGACCAAGCATGTAATATAATTTTTGATATCATTTTATATATATTTTTGTCTTATTTAAATATTTTTTCAGTTAATAAATTTAGGCACTGTAGAATGCAATTGAATGGATTTTTTAAATGGTCAAGAAACTGTTGAATTAAAATTAATATTAATTTATTATACGCTAATAAATATTAATATTAATATTAGAATACGCTAGAGGTATAAAAAGCCCTATATAATATTCATAGCTAATAAATAAAACGTTTTTCCGTATTTGTACTAGACCTAAACAAACACATGAATATATTTCCATATTAATGTAATAATTAATATTATTATGATTTTTATACAAATTAAAAAAATGTTTACAAAAAATTGAAAATAATGTTTATTATTATTATTATTATTATTATTTTTTTATATAATGGACGCATTTCTGTTAGCGTTTGTTTAGGTCTTCAAAATACAGACAAAAATTCTGGAATTACATTTTGTTGCTTATATATAAAGTTTTTGTGTTTAGTAAACGCAGCCGATTAATTTAAAATTTTAGTAATATTACTGTATGTTTTAAACTGTATAAGGACCCTATTTATATGACTATAGGCTTCATCTAAATATTAAACCTATACCTTATTCCCATATCACTTAGAAGCAATTTGAGAGCTCTTGCATGTAAATCTTTGATATGTATTTGATTATGAATTTTATATAAGTATATATAATAATAATAAATTTTATTATTCTTATTAAAATGAAGAAATATAAGAAGAACATTTTATTATTTATTTGCATAATTATTATTTAATTATTGTTATTATGAATTATAATACTATCATTATTTTAATGATATATTATAAGATTATTTTGTTGGTTGGTGCTTGCTCGCATATCAAATTATACATGAAACTTATGTATGGATAGAATATGTAATCTATTGATTGATTTATATAATATGATAATAGATTTGTACCCTATAATTTCGCCTTAATGCCTGATCGATTCTTGATTTTCCATATCCCTTGGGACACGGATGACGTGGTCTATTCACCTTCAGGTGTGCCAGCTTATATATAATCATATATAAAGTCATTCAATGGCTAAATCGGAAACAGAAGTGGGCAGGTCGCCCCGATGCTGGTGGGTCAGCTAAAGCCCAAACAAGTCGCACGCTAATCCGTTTGTTTACGTGACTCGGTCTAGCCGGGATGGCCGGGTCGGGCAGGTAGTGGGCCAGGTAGGCGTTGCATGTGGTCGCGGCACAATGGGAGATCATAAAACGGTCGCAAGTTGATTCATAATGGGACTTGACCTGCGCGTGCTGGGTAGGGTCGGCTGGCTCTGGTGCGTGGTGCGTGCTTTGGCCATCTATAAAAGCGAAGCGCAAGCGAATTACGGACAGCAATTGCAGTTCTGATTTCGGGGCGAGCAGATCGATAGCCGAAGGCGATAAGAGACAGCGCAAACAGACGATGGAACAGAGCAACCTTTATCTGCACAAGTTTTACACCCAGCTGGGCCACTACCCACTCCATGGCATCGGCGTGCATCCGAGCAAGCTGCCCGCCTTGCACAGCCACAAGCCGGAGCAGATCGATGAGCTGGTCGCCGTCGAGCTGCAGCACCTGAAGACGCACTATGCGGACGAGGAGCAGCGCTATGTGGACCAAATGCTCATCGAGAATCCCATTGTGGTGGAGCGACGTGCACCACCGACCACCAAGCCGCAGGCCACACAAGTCCATCCCATGCCGACGAAGACGCAGAGCCAGGCCACGACTGGCGGCAGCAGCCGCGATGCACAGCGTCAGCGCGCAGAGTCCTGTCGCAAGTCGCGCTACAACAACAAGATCAAGAAGGCGAAACTGCGCTTCCGCCACAAGTTCGTCTGCAGCCAGCTGACGGAGAGCGCCGGCGCACTGGACTACATGCGCGACGTGATCGCCCAGGCGGAGGCGCAGCTCATGGCGCGCGGCTTCAGTCGAGTCGCCCTGGAGCGCATGCGCCAGAACTTCGGCGTGGATCGCTGTGGTGCAGCGTTGGCCACCAACATGGACCACTGAGACAGAGACCACCTGGCATTATAGATAATGCTAGCCTAGAGTTGTACAAAAGAGACAGAGAGGGAGAGAGAGAGAGAGAGAGCTAGATATTTAAGTTATTCTTTAAGCCAAGTTATCGTATTATTAACAATTTTTTTTTTATTGTTTTTAAATAAATATATGAAAATATTAAAAATAACTAATTATGCTGTTTATTTTGTATGGATTGATAACCGATTGCAGTTATCGATAACATTAACTTAATGCAATGTTCAATAAGAAAATAATGAATTTGAAGTTAACTGTAAGATAACTTCATCTGAGGACCTTAGTTTGACTTATTCGAATATTTCGAAGACAACGTTAGAGATGACATGGCCGCAATAAGATTGCAATAATATTACATATATATCATGTAAGACTGAAGCACTGTGAGGAGTATTTATATAAATATGCAAGGTTTATTATATATCGTTCATAGGGCCATGGCTGTAGCTTTAAAATAAACTAAAAAGCACAGTTTTTATTTGATTGCCATTTGTTTTTCTATAGCTCTGAATTGGTCAGGCAGCCTAAACAGGCTATTTTATACAGACAATAATTAAGAAAAGTTAAAAAAAAAAAATATATATATATATATATAT